TTCCACCTGTGTGGATTGAGTTTTCAAGCATAGCAAGTGATGTGGTGTGCAGGGTAAGCTGCTGAAGGACTTGACATGCATATGCCGGAGGAAGACATATGTCTGATTACACAGATCATGGCCTCACAGGTAGGAGAACCACAGAAATGAAACACTCAGAATCTGAAATCTTTTTGGAAAAGCTCAGACCCTGTATTTGCAGGACAGTTTGACACTACTTGTGAGAGTTTCTGCCTTTGTTATTAAAAAAAAAACCACAAATGAATCAGTGAAGCCTTGGGTTTCTCTCCACTTTCAGTTTAATTTTCAGCAGCCTGCCTCACTTCTTCCATCAGAAGGTAGTCCTTGCTGTTGTGACAGTTCTGCCTATGAAACCAACATCTTTGGAAGTAGTGTTATTAATGACCACATTAGTTCAGAGAAAACAGACTAACGTAACTAAGAAGTCCTTTAATAAAATAACTGGTACTTCATCAATCAGTACTGATATTAATTGGTAACATTTATCAGTACATCAGCTCTGAAATGCAGAATGAAGTATATCACTTCCCAGACAGCCCAATCACAAAGCTAAGGTCGGGACATCAGTAATTTTTTCTACTTTTATAGTATGTACCATAGTGAAATAGATGTTACTTGTGATCTGGGAAGAGTTGCTAGAACTGAGCAGGAAGTTGCTGAAGTCAGAGGGAGTTGACTTCGATGGCCTTGCAATCAAATTGGTAGTGTTGAATATTTCAGCTACTTCTTAAAAGCTGGGACATGTACCATTAGCTACTATGAAATTTAAGCAAGCTTTTGCTCCAATGCGAAGCATGGCAATCAGGTTTAAGAAAAATGTGCTTTCCAAATCTCCATTCATCCTCAGAGGGTTCTTCACAGAATTTTTGTTTTGAGGGAAGGGGTTGGTGAACTGCTAACAACATGACTCAAAAAAACCTTTTTGGAATCTGCCTGTTTCCTGACCCCTCTAAAATAGCTTACTAACAGCTAGCAATAACAAGTGTGAGGAACACAATTAACGTTCCTGATACAGTTCCCATAGCTGGAGATTTTTTTGGTTCCTTTTTGAAATATTAATGACTTGATTAATGAAGCAAATAAACAGGACACCAGTGTCTTCTTTTTTCTCCTGGACAGGTAGAGGTTACATGTAAAGCAGAGGACAAATTTTCTGCTCATACCAAGTAAACCTGAAGGTGGAAGAGAGGCTGGGTTGCCATTAAAGATCTTGCCAGGTCATGGCATTGGTTGTAGTTTTCCCCTCTTCCTTAATCTACCATAGAAAACACTAGGTGATGTCATAGTTAAAAGCACAGCAATTCTTTTTTTCTAATTGCATATGAATTTTTAAAAAATTTCATCTATTTTTTCTTTAAATTTGTGTAAGATTAACAGTTGCATGACATTTAAAACCTAATTAAACATTAAAATTTAGCCAAGCATAGTCATCAGACTCCCTCTATCCCCAGAAAAAAAAAAAAAAGTAAGCGATTAATCTTTAAATCCTTTTTAATAAATGAATATTCATTTATCAATATTTTCATAAAGCATCTCTTCATCATTCCATTTTACTATTCTTTTTTTTCCACTGCTGAAGAATACCAAAAATACATAGATGTGCCTTAAGCAAAAAAGACTGGATTTTAGTTTATCTTTACAATGGGATGAAATCAACTTAGAGTTAAATCACCATAATATTTCTGCTGCTTATTGACCCTTTGGACTACAACACAAATAGCTCCGGTTGTTTTTTTTTTTTTTCCATTGCCTTTTACAAACAAATGATGTGTAAATGTTATTTATAATTAGTGTGAGTTAGAAATGAGTTCATTAGCTATGCAATGCATTTCTCTGGCGCAATTCGATTGGAATGATCATCTTTCAGTCTTAAAGCCACCTATGGTTAAAGTCATATACTGCAGCTAGCATAAAGTGACAACAGGCAGAAAATGTGAGGTCAAGGCAAACACTGTTCTTAACACACGGTTGTGTGTGTGTTTGTGTGTAAGAAGTGGTGCTGGGACTGGAAGAAGGGAATTGGCAAAAAAGGCACAAAAAATGTGTGTTAAGGATGAAGTGTTAACCTTAAGTGAGAATTTCCTGGCTTTTTTTTCAAGTCCAACCAAGACTTCAGTCCGTTCACAGTCCAAGCTGCTTGTGTCCCATGGAGCCTGGCTGGGCTGATGGATATGGAATCTCATGAAAACCTGAAATGTGCAACTGCTCACTTTTTGCAATGAGAGGGAAGGTGGGAAATACTGTTTCCTGAAGGGGGCTACAATTATACACTGCTCCCAGTTGTGCAAGGGGGAGGAGACTCAGAGACTCAGTTCTCTTGCCCATGTGGGGTGCTGAAAACACACATTTCCTCTTTTCTGAGACCAGTCATAATTTGTCCATCTACATAAAAATCCTGACTGAAGCCTCTGAAGCTTCTACAGAATGTGGAGCACATATTCACATCACAAATAAAAGCTCTTTTCTAGTTGTGATAGAGAGTGCCTGACCAGAGCCCTTCTAGGAGCTGGAGCTCAAAGAAAGGAGAGAACAGTGACTGAAAAACAGTGAGAGGGTGGGTCCACTCTCTTCTTGAATTCCATTTTTAAGAATAGTTGTTCAGGACTCTAACCAAAGGACTTGCTCAAAGATATTTCATTAGGGCAATTTTTCCAAAGCAGAGCCTATCATTTTTATGTTTTATTAATATCGTATTGTTTGTTTAATTATATTTTGCTATTAAGGTAAGAGCTTGGGAGATATTATCAATGAATTTACTAGATGTGTATTTGGGAAGGTGCTAATTGTTTTATTACTTTGACAATAAGGATGACAACACGCTTTACAATCCCTTCACAGTTGGAAGAAATATCAGACAGCTCATAATATGTTGCAGCTTACCAATGGGAACTCATACTGAGGAGCTGTTCAAAAACATGTTTTTCTACTCCGGCTACACGGTTTCCTTCAAAGCTTCTCATACCATACAGTTATTTGCAGCTGCAGTGCTTAAGAGCTGCAGTTACAGCCAGTTTGTGCTAGTGCCAAGGATGCAGCAGGGCTGCAGTGCAGTCCTGCAGGCAAGGGCAGGGCAATGGGGATCACACTGCGGCTCTACCTCAAGACAGCTGAAGGAGCCCGTTGCTGTTCAGTGAGCAGCAGCCCCCAGGATGAGACTGCAGCTCAGGCTTTGCACCCTGCCTATGCTGCAGTTCAGCCCAGAGCAAAGTTTCTCAGCTCAGTTGCAGAGTAAAGGGTGGAAACAGCAACAGAGTGTTGCTGCATGAGTGCTCTACTCATAGGTAATCCAAGTACCGGTGAGAACACTTGGCTAACAGAGCCAAGGCCTTCTCATCATCACCCCATCTTGGTGCTTTTATCTTGGTAGGTGCATATCCACATTTTTCTCCAATAGATGTCCCTAGCTAACATTCAAAGCTCTCTCTGACATAATTTCCTATTGATTTCCCCAGGAATTCTGCATATGGAGTACAGGCATGACTATGCCTAAATTCTTGTTTTAAATCTACTTATGCTACTGCACCGGTTGGTAGTTGTGAATGTACATGATAGAAACACTGCTTACAAAAAATATATCTTCTTTTCTTTAGAAAGGTTGCTCTGATAAGTAACAAATTAAGTTTACAGATCTGAAATCGGCATAACTTGGATGACTACAATCTACTAGACCGAAAAAGTTGGAAACCTGCTTAGGGAATGAATGTGAATGAAAACCAAAGTGCTCACATTTGCGTGAAAGGTGAGCCTGAACACAATCCTGAAACAAAACATACTTCTTGCTGTCTTTTGTGATCTGTGACTGCAGGACATGAGCTTCATAAGCGTACATGTATATACTTTAAGTATATAAATAAAATATGAAAATACTCCATTACTGAATCAAAGTATCAGAAGTGCTCTATTTGCTCAATTCTAAAGAATAAAAAGTTGTAACATCACAGAAACAAAAATATGACATAGCATGCAGTCACAATAGCAAGCACAGGAAAGAAAAACATTGAGAAAATATACTTATATGCATATTATGCAAATATATTTTACATTAACATACAATGTTATAAGAATGTTAAATAATGTGAATGCATATTTAAAAAATGCTACAGCTAGGTGGTTTCATGTTGAAGTAGCAAATAACCTGAGACATCTTCTATGCTTTCACTGGAATAACAATCTTTAAATCTACAGCAGATGTAGAACACGTTGACAGTAGTTGAAATCTCAGCTACTTTACACTAAAAATGTGCTGTTCTCTTTCAAAATGACATGGCAGCTGGAACCAGTCCAAGGGAAGGAAAATGTGCCGCACATTTACAGTACTTACAAAAGATTCTTTTCACTGTTGATGGACATTTAAAATGCTTGTTTGAAATATTATGAACATGTATACATCTCCAAAGACCTACAGCAATGCTCCTATGATCAGCTTGCTTACTGCAGAAGAGAAAGCAAGAGACCATTAAAAACAATGCCCATTAATGAGTGGGAAAAATGTGTTAGGTCATACAAAACCAAGAAATTTTAGCAAAGAGAAACAAGTTTGGCTTGATGAAATTGTTGTTCATGGTTCTGCAATACAAACGACTTACTTTAAACTTACCAGTGTAACTCTATCACTTTATGATTAGTGTGTATGGCAGCATTTACAAACAATGTTACTAAATACTGACTTTATACACCATTACAGCTGTTTGAAAATTTCTATGACCATCAAAGTTTTGAAGTGATAATATACAACACTTACGTTCCCAAGGCTTGCTTTGGACGACACCTGCCTTTCAAATTAAAAAGTTCCTCGGAAGTGCATTCTATGTTACATTGTCCATAACCTCAGAATGAATGCGTACACGTATGTGTGCATACATATACTTTTGCTCTTCAGCGTGTGCTCATACATACACACGATTCTTCGCTGTACGTATTCACACATACATGAGTATTCTCTACATTGTAAAAGTTCATATATATATATATTTTTACATATAAATATATATAAACTCTGCAGGCAAGTAGTACTTCACTTGTTATAATTGAAGTCCTTTAAAAAAGTTCAGTCACTCAGTTAACATAGTAGAGCCAGTAAATTAAGTTGAAAAGAGAAAATGTGAATGGAAACACCATTCTTGACCATCTGTCGATGGCATTCACATCTGTTAGATCAGGAATTTTTATCTTCAGTTGTGAAGACCTTCTTCGTAAATGGCCCCTCTTGCTGTGGGAGCCTGTTCTGTCTGATGAACGCCTTCCAAGGCTTTCGCGATGTGAGCTTTGTTTTCTGTACTGGATTCCTGAGTTATCAAAGGATATCGTTGAATTTCTGGCATCCGTAACGCTGGTTGTGACCTCGTTGCTTGCCACCTCGTTGTGAATTTCAAGAGATGTTAGCAGAATATTTCCATGGGTGTCCACCTACAGGACAAAAGTGGAAATTTACATTGTTTCAAAAGATTTTGACATATAAAGCAAAGTGTGGGTGTATTTACATCTCTAAAATCATAGATATTTTAAGAAAGCAATATTCATTTTAAGCATATGACAATATTAGAAAAAAAAGATCACAGAATCACAGAATCACAGAATGGCCAGGGTTGAAAGGGACCTCAAGGATCATGAATCTCCAACCCCCCTGCCATATGCAGGGCCACCAACCTCCTCATTTAATACTAGACCAGGCTGCCCAGGGCCACCAACTAATCTGGCCTTGAACACCTCCAGGGACAGGGCATCCACAACCTCTCTGGGCAACCTTTTTGCAGTACCTCACCACTGTCTCTGTAAAGAATTTTCCCCTGACGTCCAACCTAAATCTGCCCTCCCTCAACTCAAAACCATTTCCCCTTGTCCTGCAGTTATCTACCCTTTCAAAGAGTTGATTGAGAGTTGATTGAAGAGCCTCTGTAGGCTCCCTTTAGGTATTGAAATGCTGGAGTGAGGTCACCCTGCAGCCTTCTTTTCTCCAGGCTGAACAAGCCCAGCTCCCTCAGCCTGTCTCCATAGGGGAGGTGCTCCAGTCCCCTGATCATCTTCGTGGCCCCTCCTCTGGACCCTCTCCAACAGCTCCCTCTCTTTTTTGTACTGGGGGCTCCAGATCAGAAAGATCTGAATATTCAGTTGCTTAAACTGAGACAGGTACTTAGATACTGTTACAAACAGGGATATCATACTACCAACTTCTACTAGGCATATTTGGCAAAAGCAACCATTTTCCTATCCATTTAAATTAGCTGTGTTTTAAAGGATGAAGTATTTCAATGAAATCTCTGTATTACTGGCAGTGGGAAGAGAAGGTAAAGAAGGGAATCTCTCTCTGCGAGAGCAGAAATTAATTAAAACTAAAAAAGCTATTTTTTCATAGGAGCACCTCTCCAGTGAAGAAAGGTTGAAGGAACTGGGCTTGTTTAGCTTGGAGAAGTGAAGGCTACGGGGAGACCTCACTGGGGCCTTCCTGTACTTGAAGGGAGTGTATGAACAGGAAGGGGAATGGCTGTTTATGAGAGTGGATAGTGATAGGACAAAGGGCAATGGTCTTAAATTGAGACAGGGGAAGTTTAGGTTAGATATTAGGAAAAAGTTTTTCACACAGAGGGTGGTGACACCGTGGAACAGGTTGCCCAAGGAGGCTGTGGATGCCCCATCCCTGGAGGCATTCAAGGCCAGGCTGGATGCGGCTCTGTGCAGCCTGGTCTGGTGGTTGGCAACCCTGCACATAGCAGGGGGTTGAAACTGGATGATCGTTGTGGTCCTTTTCAACCCATTCTATGATTCTATGGTTCTATTCAGGCTTTAGAAAAAAAAGAATAAAGTGCAGGTGAAATCATAATATGCTCTGTCCTGCTGAATTCCTTGTATATTGGATTCACACACCTGTTTTACAGCTTTTCTCTTAAACTTTTCCTTCCACATACATTTTCCTGATTTTGTAATGATGGTAATGCATAATTATATATTTTTTCTAGTTGGATAAGTAAGTGATCTTAAATAGGAATAACGCTGTTAAACTGAGGAAACAAGTAGCACTCCTCCCTCTAGCCTCCATCTGCAGCAGGACGTGAGCACAGTGCTGAGCACAGCTGAGGAACGTGATGCCAATACAGGAAATGAGAAGAAGGTTCTGATCATTTTCTGGCCTTTGTAAACTCTGGACTTGATTCTGCAGCTCCCTCCAAGTAACAACAGAGTTGGGTATAGTTCCCTCTGTCCAGAAAACTTCAATTTCCCAGGAGTGGGACTGACAGAAAGTCCTGAGTGCCTGCCATCTCAGGCAGCATTTAGTTGCTTCAGTGGTGGGGCACTGCAACCTTTTGTGCCCCATGCCCTGCATGCTGGAGGATAGGCAGAGAACAAAGCTGCTGCAGGAGTCAGCTCCAACTTCCCACCAGCTTTTGGGAAAGGAAATAAGCTGCTCACTATAAGATAAATGCTCTGTGCTGGGTATTTTGAACTAGTTAACATTTGCGTGTCTGTTCAAATGAATGCAGTTTCCCTCCCATGTCAAGAAGAAATTGTTACACGTGGCATATACAGGATAATTTCCAAATCTATTTACACAATTTATTCAGCTACAATTCAGCCTGTGATTTCGTTCATTACTACCTTTTTCTAAATTGCCACCTGATTTAGCTAGATGAACTCTGTGGCACAGCTGAACATCTCATCCTGGAAACATAAGTAGCTGAGAAAACACAGTATGGTCATGACCTATTGAAGTTCATGCGGCCATCCGATACCAGGTCTGTTGGAAGCTTTGTGTGATGCAATAAAAGTATGCATTTGGTATGTGCCTGTCCCTGTGCATTTAGCTTCTTACAATCCTGTTCAATTTTTGGAAAATTGATATTTCTTTAATCAATTATAGATATACAGCTTATCTTTTCTCTGGGAAATATATTTATAGTCATATTTACATACAATAATACTTTGGCAAGCTTCTTGCAAATGGAAAAAAGAACACACAATACAATGAACGACACATAGGTAAGAAGAAAAAAAAATCTTAAGGAATCCAACACATCCTGCTGTTCTAGGCAACAGTACATAATGCTGATGAGTGCCTATAAATAAAAGTAAACAACGTGAAACAGAACTATGAAGTGCAAAAGCCTCAGTGGTGATTAAGAATTTATTTTTCCCCTGGCAGAAACCTGCTGGGTAGGAAAGTATGAGCTTGAGGTTTGTAGAAACGAGTACGTGCTATTGAGCAGCATCTGCAGCTGGGGAATATACACAGCTGTACAATACAACCATGGACACCATCACTGCTTAGAGTCTCTGAAAGTCACTGATTCAGTTTGCATTGCATTGTTTGTTTTTTTTTTTCCTATAGTCAGTACAAATTATGATCAGGATTTGTAATAGTGTTGTGCAAAACATCCCTACAATTTGTAACTTCCTTGTAAAGATTAAAATTACATCTCTCAGCCAAGCCCCCACTAAGTACATGTCACACCCTTTCCCATCTCCTCCCAGATTTTGAGAAATGTTACTTCAACTTCCTCAAAATGCCCCAGCAAGGAACATTTTACTGGGCCATACTCTGGATATACTGCTTTCTCTTTGCAGACTCTGTTCCCTTTTCTGTCTGCCACCTCCATATATGAAGACATTATCCAGTCCATAGGTACTTTGTCTTTCCATTGAGATCTGGACTGTTTTAAGTGAGGTGTCAGTTTGTACTCTGGAGGTTATATCTCCAGGCTTCTCCTACACAAGGAAAGTATTAATTTGATTCCACTTATTTCATTACACTTCATAGCCTGTTTCACCTTATCTGCCAATCCTGCATGAAACCCTAATGGAATTTCTGTCTCTGATCTCCCAGTGATACTGCCACTTTTCACTGTTAGTCACTGCATCTATAAATCAAACCAGAGAGGTGGTCAGGAAAGTAGCAATGCTGATGTAAAAGCTTTGTTTGAGTACACAGTTACACCCTACGAAGCTGCAGGACAACATATATTTTCTGAAAATGTCCAAAAAACATATTTGGAAACAGTTGTGAAGTGCATCTCTTTGTTAATAGACTGAGATTAGCAAGCCAAATTCAAGGAAGGAGCAAATGGAGAGGTTTGCAGAAACTGAAATCTGATATGCTTGAGACCTATTCCTGCAAACTGTATTGATTTCCTCTGAGGTTTTGGATAAACCTTCAAACTCTCAATAAAGTTACAGCACTATATCCTAATACTTTGCAACAATCTTAAGTGATCTCGCAAAGTAGGAACACGTAATATATGCAACACATTAAAAAGTATTTGCACACGAACATGACTTCTGAGTGATTTGAGTAATGATTTAAATGACTTTGACAAATGTACAGAAGCACTCTCAAGGAATTAAGAAGCACGGTGACAGGCTTATCCTGTGCAGGTTGACTCAGGTTTGTTCGAATTTACATGTAAGGAAAAGTCCCACGAGTTGCACAAGAGTATGGCACATTGGCTCAAAGAAAACCATTACTCTAGATACAGATACAGATTATGTAAAGCAGTTGAACTGATTACAGACAAGACTACTCATGACAAACAAGACTAACATCTTTCATGAAACCTCTGTTTTACTCCTTATGAGCCTTACTAGTTTTTATGGCCTGGCTCGGAACTGTCACAGCATGTGCACTGGAAATTCTCCTCGAAGTGTTTTCCGAAAAAGCCAAGCTTTGTTCTTGAATATTGTTACAAATTGGAGATGACAACATCTGGCCAATTTATCTTGCTTCGTATGATTCTATTTTAACCTAAACATTTCTCTTTCTTGTCCTCTCTGGAGTCCCTGGGTCTCCTGTGATCTCTTTTCTGCCTGAACCCACTCATTTCCCATTTCCCCATCTGCACTCCCGCATTCCCATCTCTTCCCTGACCGAACCCAGAGCTGGTTGTTCCCATTGTCTCTCAGTGAGCCCACAAAAGTAGACAAAAACAGCTGAGTGCCAAATCATTAATCAATTCCCTACTGAACAAGCATGGATCTAAGTACGCAAAACTGATGCTCTTATTAAACACCATTCCTCCCACCTTTGAACAATTACAGCTCCTGCACCAGAAGGTGAATGGCACTCACATGACTCCGTTTGGAAGCTGAGAAACTTGAAATGCAGTGAGACTTATCATATGCTGAAAAACAGATCATTTTTGTAGGTTCACCACTTCTTAGCAATGTGGCAGTAGGCCTCTTCACCCATGTAACCAGTGACAGGAAGGCAGGTAATGGTCTCAAGCTGCATCGGGGAAGGTTCAGGTTGGATATTAGGAAAAATTTATTCTCAGAAAGAGCAGCGATGCAGTAGCACAGGCTGCCCAGGAGGTGGTGCAGTCACCGTCCCTGGAGGTGTTCCAGAACCGTGTGGACGTGGCACTGAGGGATGTGGTCAGTGGGCATGGTGCAGATAGGCTGATGGCTGGACTGGGTGAGGT